AGTATGAGTTATATTGCCAAACTCCTATGTGGACTTTGTCATCAATGCTGAAGCATTTTTACAGGCGAAATTCAAGAGCAGGAAACAGGACGGCACATATTTTATCGTCTCTACCCCAACAAAATAGTCCTGCTTCAATCTTCCTCCTTATTTCTGACCATCTCAAAAGGCCGCACAACTTGCGCTCTCAGTAGCCTCTTCTAATTGTCCACCCCACTAACGCCTAAGCTTCACTCATATGCTGTGGCTCAAGTGCCTCGTCTGGCACACCAACACACACACATGCACACAGCTCGACTAGATGCCTTCATGTGAAGAGAGAGTTGATGGGCCTAACGACGGTGCTGAGCACTTATTCCCACTCAACACTCGCCCTTCTTCTTCCTCATCTCCATAACTGAATACCTTTGGGCATCCCACTGCACTTTCTCCTGCATTTCGGCTGCCGCTCCAGTGAGCCCATTCACCGCGGAAGAAGGAGTGAGAGCGAGAGAGGCAGAGAGAGAATTGATCAACTTTGTTGTATTTAATGCATTGGAGTAATATTTCAAAATGCATGCCTTTCAAACCACACACAGAAATTTTTTTATTTTAGGGAGATACTTTGTGGTGGGTAGAGTAAATAGCTTATCAGGGAAATTCACTCCCACTTCAAAGGCATTTCAGGCCGTGTTGACCCTCAGGCGAAGCGGGTAAGCAGAGGAGGAAGGAGGAGGATGAAGAGAATGCAACAACGTATATCTGAGCACGAGTTCTCCATTTATGCTGTTCCCTCCCTCCATTCCTCCTTCCCTCACTCCCTCCCTTTCTTTCTATGTTGTTCTTATTTCTTGCCTTTTGGAGTACAAAGTAGACGCGTACATGCACAAGCGAATTAGTGTGTTTTCTGGTTGAGTAATGAGGCTGTATTAGCCTCAGTCATTTGGAATAGGGAAAACGCTGCAGCCTTAAGGAGAGAAAAGCGTGTGGAAGGGAGAAGTGGGCTGATGGGTGCTGTCAGATAGTGAATGATAGCAGTCAACATTGTTGCATCTGCTCAAGTGACTGCTGCACTGATTTTTCCACCCTTCTTCACTGTGATACAACAACCTCAGTGGGGATGTGAAAGTAGATGT